TCACGCCCAGAAATGCCCCAGGCTCCTGTGCATAGATGGGAAGAAACACAGTCTCCATGGTCTAGGGTGCACATCGATTACGCTGGGCCCTTTCAGGGTCAATTCTTCTTGGTCCTGGTTGATAGCTATTCAAAATGGCTTGAGGTTGTACCTGTCTCTTCCACCACCACTGCAAAGACTATCCAAGTACTGAGGGGGACTTTTGCTGCACATGGGCTTCCGGATGTTTTGGTGTCTGACAATGGCCCTCAATTCACTTCTTCCGAATTCCAAGCTTTCTTACAGGCCAACATGATTTGTCACGCCACCTCTGCGCCCTTCCACCCTTCCACTAACGGGATGGCTGAACGGATGGTCCGCATCACCAAGGATGCTTTAAAGAAACTGACCTATGGGGACTGGCATCACAGGTTGGCTGACTTCCTCCTTGCTTACCGCACTACACCTTCCACTTCTATGGGAAGAAGCCCAGCTGAACTTTGCTGGGGGCGCAAACTGACTACTAAACTTGACCGGTTGCACCCGGACAGATTGCCTCCTAGGGGTACACAACACAGGGCATCGAGGCAATTACAAGTGGGTGCCCCAGTATGGACCCGTAACTACGGGCCAGGTCACTTGTGGGTTCCTGCTCTACTTTGCAAGGTTACAGGTCCTTTGTCCTACGAGGTCTTCTTGGATAACGGTCGTATCCTGCGACGGCATATCGACCAGCTGCGTACAAGACTGGACTTACCTTCAGAGACTCCTGGGTCCTTTCCAGGGGGGGGAGGGGGACCCCTACGGGCAAAGGGAGGGGTGTTGGCAGCAACCAGGCCCCAACAGAGAGGCCACAGATGGCCTATCACAAGATTCCGCGAGTGTTCCGAACAGGAATTCAGGGGAACCAGCTAGCACACAGGCTACAGTGCATACTCCAGCCAGGGAGTCACCCCGGGGGTATAATCATTACACACTTACACCTTTCAGCACTCCAGTCGGGGAGAATAACCGGGAGCATCCTAATAACTCAAACATTGCAAGAGAGCTGGCACACAATCAACACAATTGGCCCAACTTCGCCACCGTCCCCAGAAAAGGACACTTCCACAGGGAAGTGATAGAAGGGCCAAATCCAGATCCTGAACCCTCTGGTTCAACGGAGGGGGCAACTGAGTTTTGGGACAGTACTGAAATTACAGACAGTCCTACTATGGAACTGGGGAGTGGTGGAAGGCAGCCTCATGCTAGGTCCAGTGTGGGCTCGAGAGGCTCTTCAGAGTTGGCCAACAGTGGCAGCCTTCTAGAGGGGCCAGAACGCCTGCAACTAGGCAGGTCAACCAGGTTAGAGAGAGAGCAAAGTCCTGGTCTGACGAGCCCGGTGGGCAAGCAAGCAGGCCAGGCAGAGGGCCATGGTCCACGGGGGCCACCAGGGTCTGAGAAAGGGGGTGAACCTGTAGCCTCCTCTGGACAAGGTGTATCTGGGAATTATCAGGGCCTACGGAAATCACAGAGAGATAAGAGCTCTCCCAAATATTTCGAAGATTTTATAACTCTGCTGGCAAAGCAGAAACAGTAAGAGGGTGTTTCTGTGGAAGCCGGAAAAGGGGACACTGGGAATTAATCCCCAGAACAATAGCATGGTACCATTGAGCAAGGGTGGGCACACCATGCTCGTGTTGAGGTCGCGTGTAATTATTCATGTAGTCTTAGCCGGGGGGGAGGGGTGTTGTGTCCTGAGCCTGCAAAGGCAGGCTCGGGACGTTGCAGTGGTCCCGGGCAGTTGCAAGCTGCCCAGGACCAGACTGGCTGGCGCCAGTGCTCGCACACATGCGCGAGGCGCGCTGCGCGCCTAAATGTTGCTTTTTGGCCCAGGGATCGTCTTTAAGAGAGGCTGAGAGGTTTGTTCTGCTCAGAGTTGTAACGGGGGCTACTGAAGACCAATAAAGAGTTCCTGAAACCACAGAATGTCTCACGCCGTCATTGCCATTAACCAAGGACTCAATACTTACCACATCTGGATTTGAATAGAAAGGGGGATTCCAGCTCTCTTTAAAAATGTATTATTTCTTGGACTTGTGGAGCTGTTGTCTTCCTTGGAAAAAACACATTTGATTTAAGGGATTGAAAATAAGTGCTACTTAAATGTTCATCTGCACTCTCAATCACCATTTTGATTAATCCCCTGCTACAAATACTATTTTGTAAGCTTTAATAAACTTTGAACAACTTCCTGCTATGAGACAGATTGTATATCTAGTACAGATCAGATTTTCAAGCTGTTTGCAGAATTAAGCACAACATATAGATGATAAAGGAGTAAATGTCTTCTAAAGGACAACAGGGTAAAATCCCAGCAGTTGAAATAATCAATGTTGCAAGTTACTTAAGAATTGTAGCTCAGCAATAGATGGAAGGAAGTTCTTGACTCTTGGTGTAATGAAGTTCTGCTTTTTAAAGACCTATGCAAGTCTTTACTAAGATAAATTAAAGAGGCAGAATATAACAGAGATAGAGATGATATTTAATTATTTTTTTATGTTTTATAGGAAATACAGTTGGAACATGCAAAGCAAGCATTTGTGCAACGAGATAATTCTCAAGCTGGAAGAGTCACAGCCATTGACTTCAGGGATATTATGGTCACCATCCGACCTCATATGTTAACGCATTTTGTTGAAGAATGTCTAGTAGCTGTAAGTTATCTGCTGTTTATAAATATATATGAATGATACCTTGTTTTTATTGTCATCCTATTGAGACAAAAATGCAGAGAAAGGAATAAAGAACGAGTGCCTATTTCAAAGTTTTCTTTTTTAATTTTTGCTAGAATTCATAATCCAGACTTTGAATTCAAGAGAAATTTATATATGATAAATCTATTTAGACAGTTAGGTTTTATTTGTCATAAGATTGTGGTGTTATTTCTTTAGGTCAAGAGTTTTGGCCAGCACACTTGAGCTGTATCAGATGACCTCTAGCATCATCAGGGTAATTGTGCTGTCTCAACAAATGAATTTCATTCATTTCCTTGTTGCGATGCATATGCATGCAAGTTAGTTTCTCTTAGACTAACTTTTTGCTTACTCACAGATTGGCAATTAATATAGCACCAATCTGAAACCAATCTGAAAAATGGATGGCAAGCTGGAAGTTCCCACATATTTTGCATGTTTTGATATATGTTACCTTTTAAATTGCACCTTGCGTGAAACTTTCCATAATGTCTTAAATATGATATAATATGATAAATATTAATAGTAATTCTAGAAATATAACTGATTTACATCTATCCTAAATAGGATTGAAGAGTAATATTTCATTTTCTGACAGTTGTTTCAGGAATTTTGCTTAGTGTAAAAAAAAAATCTAACTGACATTTACATTTTGCAACCTACTAGAAAAAAAGACCACTATACCATTTAAAACTTTTACATAAAAGTATTTTCATGTTATCTGTTTCCCAGTCTTTTCCCAAGAGTAGCATTAAACATACACAATATTTTACTCTGTATTTTTTTAAAAAAATATCTATTCTCTCCTCTTAAAGTCAATTGATTCTCAAAGGAGTTACAACATTTTGCTATAATAAGACCAAATCCCCAAATTTGTATATATTCAACTTCGCACAACTTTTCCCCAACTTAGGAGTTTCGATGTAGAACTAATTCCCAGGATTCTCAGCAAAAACCATGATGAAAGGAGAATGTGGAGAATTGAAGTACGAGTATTGGTCAAAGGGATAGATTACTGTAGGACAGTGGTTTAGAGCAATGTTTGGCAAAGAACAGACTAGATATCTCTGCCAATAGATAGAGCTAGGATAGTATTTTTGTTTCTTGCACCTTCCCCCCTCCCCCCTAGAAAACAGGAAGTCTGTGGCAGGCATTCAGGTGTGCAGTTCTGTACTAGCAACAATTGTTGTTTTTTTTTTTAAAAAAAAAATCTGAATAATTATCAGATTCAAATAAAATTTGTATTATTTTTGGTAAATGACCATTTGGAAAAAAGGATTTGCTTAATGACCACATGTCTTGCTTAACCACTGTGTGATTATTTTATGACCTTACTGACTCACTTTGTGACTATCATAAAAATGATTATAAAATCGAGTCAATCACCTAGTAACCACTTAACATCGCAATGAATTACAAACAAAATTTTGGATTCACTTATGGTTCTTAAGTGAAAACTATTTATAATCCAGGCATTTCCATTCAGAAGTGTGGACTTCAATCTCCAAGATTTCAGGGAAATCTGAAAGGGGAATTCTGGGAACTGAAGTTCATATATTAGGAAGACATCTTTGTTAGAATAACTATATCTCCCTTTTATATGATTCAAAGTCTATTCTTTGAACATCAGACTGTATTTTTTTGAGAACACTAAGATATATTCTCCAGCCTGACAGTTTGCCTTCATTTATAGTTCTCCCATATGTTAAAGGACCAAATCATTGAAATGGGAACTAGTGCTTATGATTCGGGAGTTCTGGATTGCATAACTGGGTTTTGTAAATGCATGAACTCTTTTTCAGTGTGCTTTTTATTTGTAGAAGATGCAAAATGGCTGTGGAAAACTTCTTTTATTGCCAATTTATTTGAAGGAGTTTAAAAGCACCTTTCCAACTATATTTTTTTATAAAAGTTGTAAGCTTTAAGTAAAATTTATTATTTAGAAAAAATGCATCATATCCTTTTTGCTCCCATAAATTAATTACAGGTCTCCTACATGCCAATTTACCTGTAACCCTTAGCTTCTCCAGCATGATAGATGTAGCATCCACCGATTGGGTAATCAAAGCCCTCCTGCTCAGATTTAGACTAAGACCAAACTTTAGCCACGCCTCCCTTGGGCGCTCCTTTCCCAGTTTTGTCTTAGTCTATGCCAGTGATTCTCAACCTTTCTAATGCTGTGACCCCATAATACAGTTCCCCATGTTGTGGTGAACCCCAAGTGGGTGTGGCCACCCATAAGAGGGAGTAGGACAGCTGGGGAAAAGGGAAAAAAATGGCGGACAGCATGGTTTGGTGACCCCCGTGAAATGGTCATTCGACCCCAAATGGGGTCCCGACCCACAGGTTGAGAACCACTGGTCTATGCTCAGAGAGGACACAGTTTTGTTAGCTCCTCAGCAATTGTTAGTTTAAATAGTGTAGTATTAGGATTGTTAATATAGCTTCCTGTAGTGTACTCTTTACATAATTTTTGGTTTTTTAATAAAGGACAGTGAATTAGCAACCTTGGAGAGTTGCTTTCCAGAGGGCCTAATTGGCCTCGTGGATCGTTGGAGCTTTGCCGCTGAGGCAGTTTTCAGCTCAGAGTATCTGTTCAGCACACTGAGGGAGGCTTCCCTTGTGTGTGATAACAATTTTTATTGCCAGCGTTTCTGGAGAATTCAGCCGATTACCAGAGCTTCTCTCTTGCCTCGTGGCCAAGAGGCTCTATCCAGGATCGCACAGAGACTCCCCCAGGCTGCAGAATCGCAAGTAGTTTGTGGTGCCTTATAGCTGTAAGGGGGGAAGTGTGTGTAAGGTTCCCTCCGTCTTTTTGCCTGCCTGAACGGGGACTTCAAAGACGAGGCTGGAGAAGCTGTCTTATAGCTCTGACTAAGAGGAGAGGCCATTTTTAGGCACAAAGAAGACCTGCGGCCGCCATTTTGAATTTGGTGCTGGGCGTGGTCGCCATTTTAAGGTTGCTATTTGCCTCCAATTCAGGCCTAGCATTAGTGACTCACTGTGTTGGGTCCTCTTGGGGGTTTAGCTGTTGTTTTTTCGACGCATTGCTTCTCAGAGATTGATTACAAAAGTAAAATAAAATAAGATAAAATAAAATAAAAATAATAATAACAACAATAACACCTATTATCTTAAATTGTGGGGTTCCTGACCTGTTCTGTTTAGCTCCCGGCGCTGTGCCGGCAGGGCCCAGCAGACAGTTTTAGACAGCTGTTCTGGCTGTTTGCCATTGTGGTTGTCTTAGGGCGTGGGAAGCTTCCCTCCCGGACAACTTGATCTGCGTAGTTACCCCCAGGGCTTCTCCTACCTAGAAAGCCTGGGCACAATGGCAGATGGTGAGTCTCCTCAGGCTTTGCAGGGTTCTGATATTCCCCCCATTCAAGCAAAACGCAGATCCTCTGATTCAAATACAGGGGGGAAGAAAAAAGCTAAAACCAAGCATTTATCAACCAAAGAACCCTCCAAGACTGCTGATCGAGAGGCCTCAAGGAGACACCAGGCACTGGAGCAAGAGTTCTCCAAAGCACAAAGGCTCAGGTCCAGAGAAGCTGAATTGGTTCCCCCTGCTTCTCTGACCAGCTCACCTTATGAGCCCTCATTGGTGCCGTCTTATCAAGCCCCCAGGGCAGGGTTTCCTCAAGGGGGAACTGAACAGGTCAGTCTATCTGCCCCTAGACAACATATCCCTATATCCCCTCTGCCAGGGCCTTCCATTTCTCCTGCTAACATTAGTACGCATACTCCTGAGACCACCGCTGCTGGTGTGCCTTCAGCTGAGCGATTCTTATGGGCTCAACAGTTTCAGAGCTTTATGCACCAGGCCTTCAATCAATTCATGTCTTCTTCTTAGCAGCTGGTCCCTCACAGATTTCACCTTCTCCACCCTTGCCCGCAGACCGCACTGGACGTCCCCAGTCAGCGGGTTCAGGTATTTCTGAGACTTCATCTCAGTTTGGGGAGACTGAATCTATTGACCTGGTGACAACTGAAGGACCTATGTCTGAGGATGAGGAGGTAAATCAGGATCCAACCCCAACATCGGGGCTTTTTGATCCAAACCTATTCAAATCTCTTTTGTTAAAAGCCTGCACAACAGCCAACCTGGTCTCGGAGCAGGAACCCAAGCCATCTACCTCGGCTGCACAAGAGTCAAACCCTTTGTTTGTTAGAAAGGTGGTAGAGGAAAAACAAGTTCCTTGTCCAGCTGTTTTCCACGAGACGGTGGAAAAAGAGTGGACCTCACTGGCCACCCTACCCTCTCCTAACAGCACAGAAAAGAGATTGTATAATGTATTTTCTGCATTCTCTTCCCTTCTAGAGGTTCCCACAGTGGACGCTCCATTAACATCTTTGTTCTCCACATCCACTGTTCCTGGAGACATGGCCGAATATCTCAAGGCGGAAGATAAACGTTTTGAGTTTTCTCTCCGCAGGGCTCACCAGGCCTCTGCCTGGGCCATCAGGGCGTCTTCATCCTCGTCCTTTTTCGCGAGAACTTCTATCATGTGGCTCCGGGAACTACAGGCATTAATTCCTCCAGACCAGGTACGCGCACATCATACTCTAGGTAAACTAGTAACAGCGGCGGAATACATGTCAGATGCTTCCCTCAACTCCACCAAATTTTTGGCCAGATCTATTGCAGCCACAGTTGCGTCCCGCAGATTCATGTGGCTCAAACAGTGGAGGGCTGACCTAAAGTCAAGATGGCGTCTTGCTACAGACACCTACAGTGGCAAGAATTTATTTGGCCAAATCCTAGAGCCGTACCTGGTTGAAGGGAAGGATAAGAGAAAAACCTTAGCTCATCCGTCCAAGAAGACGGATAGGAGACCTCAACAAGAATTTCGCAGGCAGTCCTTCAGGGCCGGAAGTTCTTGGGGATGGAGGCAGCCCTTTCGATCAGGGCAGTCCTGGGATTGGCTCAGAGGTTCCCGATCCTTCTCCCCCAGACAGGATCGCCAACAGGACCGCCAGAATTCAGGAGCCAGGGGTCAGTTCCAGACCAAGCATCCCTTCAGGGGGGCGGGAGGCCATCCATTCCGAAGGTCTAAGTGACGCCAAATTGGACCCTCCCATAGGCGAACGCTTAACCCTGTTCAGCGACACTTGGGAGGTCACCACAAACGATACCTGGGTGAGAGAGACCATAAGATTCGGTCTAGCCCTAGAACTAAAGTCCATACCACCAGACCATTTCCTTCAGTGCCCCGCCTCAAGACACGCACACAAGGCCGAAATAGTGACACAGCAATATCACACTTATTAGAAATAAGAGCCATAGAATCAGTTCCTCCGGAACAAAAAGGAAAAGGGTTCTACTCCATTCTTTTCGTGGTTCCCAAGCCCTCGGGATGGAGAGCGATATTAGATCTAAAGGGACTCAACCGCTTCCTAATCTACAGGAAGTTCAAATGCAGTCCCTCAAGTCCATTCTAGCAAGTGTCAGGAAGGGAGATTACCTCTCCTCCATAAACCTGACAGAAGCCTACCTTCATGTTCCTATCAGACCACATCACCGCAGATTCCTCCGTTTCTGCCATGCAAACAGACATTATCAGTACAGGGCACTTCCCTTCGGTCTATCCTCGGCACCACGGGTATTCACAAAGATACTGACAGTATTAGCGGCACATCTCAGATTAATACCAGTAAGAGTACAATGTTACCTGGACGATATAATCATTCAGTCCAGTTCATTCCACACTGCTCAACTAGATCTACAGACTACAATAGAGACACTTCAGAGACACGGCTTCTCAGTAAATTTCAAGAAGAGCCACACCACCCCTACCACTCGGATCTTGCATCTAGGGGCGGTGATAGATTCAGACCTATGCAAGGTCTACCTCTCCCAGGAACGCAGGGACGGTATCAGATCCTTAGTTCGCAGGATCCAGAGAGAGAAGGTAGTTCCCCTTGTCCAGTTGTCACAGCTGTTGGGGAAGATGATTTTTTGCCTAGGAATAGTGCCGTGGGCCAGTCTTCATTCCAGACATCTACAATGGTTCCTGCTTCCCTTCCAGAAGCGGAACATGAGTGCCTCCACACGGAAGGTGAGAGTTCCGTACCACACTCTACAGTCACTCAGATGGTGAGGGTCACCAGCCATACACAAGGGGACATTCTTCAAGGAGCCTCACAGACTTATCCTGACCACGGACGCCAGTCTGTTCGGTTAGGGAGCGCACATGCAGACACATATGGCTCAGGGTCAATGGTCCAAGCACGACCTCACGCACAATATAAATTGGCTAGAACTCAGGGCAATACACCTGGCTCTTTGCCAGTTCTCCAACATAGTGAAGGGGAATCATGTCCTGGTAATGACGGACAATGTCGCAGCCAAGGCTCATATCAACAGACAGGGAGGGACCAAATCTTGGTCCCTCATGCAGGAGGCCCTAGCATTGGGTCTGTGGGCAGAATCCCATCTGAAATCCATCAGAGCAGAACACATTTCTGGGGAGGAGAATCGTCAGGCAGATTCTCTAAGCAGGGCGACGATAGACCACTCGGAGTGGCGATTTGAACCGAACCTCTTCAGGGAAATATCGGAGAGGTTCGGGCAGCCTCAGGTAGACCTGTTTGCTTCGCCAGCAAATGCTCAGCTTCCCAGGTATTTCACGCGGTTTCCGTCACGGGGGGCGGAGGGAACGGACGCGCTACGCAGCAGATGGCCCAAGGGACTTCTGTATGCCTTCCCTCCACTTCCCCTGATTCCAGCTGTCATCAGGAAACTCCTATTAGAGGGGGCAGAATTAATCTTGCTGGTCCCACATTGGCCAAGGCGTCCTTGGTTTGCAGATCTCGTGGACCTATCGATCTCCCCACCTTGGAAGATTCCAGCAGATCGCATCTCCCTCAGTCAGGGTCAGCTCCAACATCCGGACCCGCAGTGGCTTCAACTAGCCGCTTGGCACTTGAAAGGGAGAGCTTAATTAGACAGTCCTATTCGACTGGAGTGATTGCTATAATTCAAGCCTCCAGACGTCCCTCCACTAACAGGATCTACGATGCCACGTGGAAAAGTTTCTGTGCATGGTGTAACACCAGGAGGGTCAACCCACTGGCTACCACCATTCCGATATTATTGGACTACCTTTTAGACGGACTAAACAGGGGACTGTCTCACAATACCATCCGTAGGCAGATCGCAGCATTATCCACGGTCCTCATTTGCGAGGATCAGGTACAGCTATCTCATCATCCAGCTGTTACGGCCTTCCTTAAAGGAGCCATTAATACAGGTCCCCCTGTAGTACACAGATATCCCACATGGGACCTGCCAAGGGTTCTGCAGGTTCTTACCAGTTCACCATTTGAACCCATCAGATCTTGTTCACTACACTTCCTTTCATTGAAAGTAGCCTTTTTGATTGCCATCACCTCAGCAAGACGCATCTCGGAACTTGCTGCACTCTCGATCAGGGAGGATCTTTGTGTTTTTTTGGATGACAGAGTGATCCTAAAATTGGACCCTTCTTTCATTCCGAAAGTCAATACTAGCTTCCACAGGTATCAAGATCTGATTCTTCCGGACTTTTGTCCGCGACCTTCTCACCGTCTTGAAAGATTGTGGCATACATTAGACGTACGCAGGGCTTTGCATCACTATGTGAAGCGAACCGCTGCATTTCGTAGATCGGAGGCCTTGTTTGTGTCTTTCCAACCTTCTTCCATGGGTCTGAAAGTATCATCCTCGACCATTGGTAGATGGATTAGGGCCTGCATCTCTCACGCTTACAGGACTCAGTCTCTTCCTGTTCCTCCTCACATCACTGCTCATTCTACACGTAGCGCTGCTACATCTGCGGCCTGGTCCACTCAGGCCTCGATTGAAGAAATTTGCAGGGCAGCCACCTGGGCTTCCCCCTCTTCATTTATAAGGCATTGCAAGCATGATAAATTCGCTGCCTCAGACGCATCCTTCGGCAGAAGAGTTCTGCAGCAGGTAGTCCCTACGCATGAGCCACAAGCCTAGACTTCCCTCCCGACAGGGACACGGGTGGCTTTGGTATATCCCAATCGGTGGATGCTACATCTATCATGCTGGAGAAGGGGCGTTGTCTTACCTGAACGCCTTTTCTCAGCATGAAGATGTAGCATCCACACCCACCCTTAACACTTAGTCTAGGCAGATTTTTTTCAGGAGGAGCTACTGTGTCGGACCTAATGAATGCTTCGCCTCGACAAAACTGGGAAAGGAGCGCCCAAGGGAGGCGTGGCTAAAGTTTGGTCTTAGTCTAAATCTGAGCAGGAGGGCTTTGATTACCCAATCGGTGGATGCTACATCTTCATGCTGAGAAAAGGCGTTCAGGTAAGACAACGCCCCTTTTCAATTCACACTTTCATTGGCCATGCTGTCTAAAAAAGATGTGGTTTACAATACATATATAACACTACATTAGGAAAGTCTGATTTATAATTAATTGTTTTTCTATTAATTTTTAGGCAAACTTGCCCATTATTTCTTTAATCGTTCATTCTATCACTTAGAATTCTGAGTGTACATAGCAATTTCACACTTGTACTATTACAAACTTTGATATTTCTGTTGCTTTTAAAGGTTGTTAAATTTACCCATTCTATAGAATGTTGTATGTTTCTGAAAAATTATGTCCATTCAAACTTACCCAATAAAGCACATATCTGATAAGATTGGAAAGCAAAAAGTAGAACACTGAAACAACCTTATCCTTTATGAAAGAGTAATTAATAGTATCCTGGTAAGAACAAATCAGAATCAGAATAGAGCTGGAAGGGACCTTGGAGACCTTCTAGTCCAGCCCCCTGCTCAAGCAGGAGATCTTACATCATTTCAGACAAGTGACTGTCCAGTTTCTTCTTAAAAATCTCAAGTGATGAAGCACCCACAATGTCTGAAGGCAAGCTGTTCCATTGGTTAATTGTTAGGAAGTTTCTCCTTAGTTCCAGGTTGATTTTCTACTTGATTAGTTTCTATCATCTTGTCCTGCCCTCTGGTGCTTTGGAAAATAAATTGTGGTATCTTTGTGTAGCCTCTCAAATAGTACTACTATCATGTTGCCTCTGGTTTTCTTTTCTCTAGCCAAACTCAAATCCTGCAACCATTCTTTAATATGTTTTAGTTTTCAGACCTTTAATCATCTTAGTTGCTCTTCTTTGTACTTTTTCCAAAGTTTCAACATTTTTTTTTGTAGCGTGATGACAATATTCCAGGTGTGGTCATACTAAGCCTTTATAAAGTGGTATTAATACTTCACATAATTTTGATTCTCTGCCTCTGTTTATAGAACCAAGTATTGTATTACCTTTTTAGGCTGCTGCCGCACACTGCTAACTCATATTTAAGTGATTGTCCACTAAGTTTCCAAAGTGCCTTTCACAGTTACTGTTTTTGAGCCAGATTTCACCTAATCTGTACCTTTGGTTTTTCCTGCCCAGGTGTAAAACCTTGCTTTTCTCTTTATTAAATTTCATTTTGTTGGATAGGGCCCATTGCTCAAGTCTGTCTTGACTTGATAAGATCTTTTCGGATTCTGAGTTTTTCTTCTGGGGTGTTGACTGTTCCTGCCAGCTTAGTGTCATCTGCAAATTTTATGAGTTCCCCTTCTATTCCCTCATCTAAGTAATTTGTGAAGATATGAAAGAATACTGAGCCTAAGACAGAACCTTGTGACACCCCACTGTTTACTTCCCTCCATGCAGATGTAGTATCATTAAGGACTACTCATTGAGCATGGTTTGTCAGCCAGTTACAAATCCATCTGGTTGTGATGCTGTCTATCCCACTCTTTTCTAGCTTACCAAGAAGTAGGTTGTGATCTACTTTATAGAATGCTTGCTGAAGTCTAAATATACTATGTCCACAGCATTTTTCTTGTCTACTAATTTAGTCACTTTGTCAAAGAATGCAGTAAGATTGGTTTGGCATGATCTGTTTTTAACAAACCCATGCTGGCTTCTAGTTATAACTTTATTTGTTTCTAGATGGTCACAGATCTATTTTTCGATTTTTTTTTTCCAGTATCTTCCCAGGTATTGATGTTAAACTGATTGGTATGTAGTTTCCTAGGTTTGTCCCCCCCCCCCGCTTTTTTTTTTTGAAGAAAGAAAAAAATCAAACAGAACACCGACTGAGATGCAGAAATTGCAGAACAGAATGGGGAAAATGTTGCTGAAAAGCTTTTATAAGATTGGGCACTAAGTCCTTAATTCAAAATTCTTTGAAAAAAAATTAGCATCACAAGAATGAACATACACAGACTTAAGAATTATGTATATTTATTAGCAATATATTTCATACATACAAAGGTTTATTTTCTTTTAAAACTATTACAGTGCCAAGGAATCTTATTATAAAGCCTATTTATCATACTTTTTTTAAAGCTTCATATTTAGTTTCTTTGGGCTACAGTAGTAACATAGCAACCACCTTCTAATGATCTATATTATTCCATTGATTTTGTTTTTTTGGTGTGGAGTAAGGAACAAAATTGTTTGGCTAATAGTGTCTTTTAGTTAGAACTTAAGGTAACAATATCAATATATGTCGATTCTTGTTCTCTCTCTGTGTGTGTGTGTGTGTGTCTGTCTGTCTGTCTGTCTCTCTCTCTCTCCACACACACACCCTGTATATTGATAGATTATATATCTATAATATTAGTATTAAAAATAACACCTCTTAAATTAAATTAAGAAAACATAATGACAAAGACAAACCTCCCATTGAATTTAATAAGGAAAACTAAAAATGAAATAAAATCAAATTTTAAAAATCATTTTAAGTTTTTTTTTCTTTTTGTAAGATTAGTATATATGTTCTAACTGCAGTATTTCTGTAAACAAGGCTAATGTTTTGTGAAACTTTCATTATAATAGTTAAAAAATAAGTGACCAAATTTAATTAAACCTGTCCTTAGTCATAAAGCTCTTTACTATTCTTTTTATGTTTTAGTCATTTTTGCACTGATCAAAGCAAAAATTTTCAATATCAGTTAAAAAAGGATTAAGAGTAGCTACAGGGATGAAGAAATACGATTGGATTTATTGTCAAAAGTTATTTTTTGATCTTTCTAGTTTTCTCAAATATTATTGACCACTATTGAGCATTTCCACCAAACTTGTACTAATAGTTTGCTTCCTGTTCAATCCCCACAAACATGTGAGAAAGGTTACAATTTATACATTTTTAGCAGATAGTACCAACTATAAATTAATTTCATGGTCAGTTTTTGATAACTTGGTAAAATAGATTTACCATGAATTCTATATACAAAGAGTTGAGCTTTCTTTAATTCAAAAATTATTTCAGCTTTCAAAATCTGAGTTGATATTAAATAATAATAATATCTTTAATAAATTATATTAAAGCGGTTATCTTGATATATTGCATACGTATTGGATACATATGGCAGGAATGTCATGTAACTAATTGGTATTTGGTCCTCTGAGTTTCCATAGCCCTGTTCAACTTTATTCCTTTTGTTAAGGATCCATAGCTTAGTACTTGAATATTTTATTTAAATATAATTAATGAATATAAATTAGAAATCACTGAACATCTGTCATGTTCTTAAGAAATTGGAAAAGCCCAGAACTATTACTGAATGAGACTTATGACTGAATTAAGACACTTTGAAGACACTACAGAATGCAGTTAAACGCAAACATTCAACCAAATGGCCATTTCATATTCCGTAAGTGATATGATAGACAAACAAGTATTCAGAGAGAACATGAAATTACATATACTTATTAATGAGTATTTACCACTGAAGCATGCATAGACTAAATGACCAATAACTTCAGTGTATGCTGATAAATTTTAATCAGATTTACACCTTTAATTTTTGGAGTGTTTTTTATACAAGCTATACATGATCCAGTGGGTCCAATGATTTCTATTTATAAATAGTGTTCATAGAACTGTATTTTAAGTTTCAACAAAAATAAATTTGGACATATTCACATTTGTTGGCTTACATATAGTGGGAATGTCATGTAACTGGTTGGAATTTGGCCCTCTGAAAAAGTTTCCATAGCCCTGTTCAACTTGATTCCTTTTGTTCAGGGTCCATAGCTTAGTAGTTGAATATTTGATTTGAATGCATGAGAGTTCAAGTTTCAATCCTTGTGGTTCCAGTTTAAGGAATTCAGGTAACAGTGTAAAGAAAGACATTTTTTGAGACTTTGAAGAACCAGTAATTGAAAACTTGATGGATAGGCCTATGACTTGATTAATTGTAAAGTACATTCATGTTGGAAATTGTATATATGTTTCAAGGAGAAAAAAATAAAAAGTGAACTTTATCACCACCACCACCACCCCAGAAAATACAATACATTTTTTAAATATTCCATATGTAATCAATTTGTAATCTCTTTATGTTTGAGGTTATTTATTTGATAAAAATTCAATTTAGTAAGCATTTCTTTTTGTATTATATAATTCTGCAGCTACTGATCAGTGCTGTATTTCACAGAAAGAAGATATTTGCTGGGCACAGTTTTACATTTTGAGATGCATGACATTTATATTATATGTAAGACTTCATTAATGTGAATTTTTCCAAAATTATTACTGATAGACAAATTGCCTCATTCATATTCTGGAATTATCTTACCTTGTTTAAAAAGTCAACTCAGTTTGCAGCAAAAAAAAAAAAAATCTGTTCTGTGTTTTGGGAAAAGCAGCATGTGATGCTTTATCTGTCAGAATTATTCAGTTGGATATGTCTGATGGATAACGAAAAATTTTTACTTAATCTTTTACTTAAGGAAGCTTAATGTTTGAGTAAATGGTATCTTTAAAACATGTATTTTAAAGATACAATTTTCTTTGAAATCAGTGACTCAATTTTAAAAGCAAAACTTGAAAAACCTTAAGAGATGTTTCATTGTTGTTTGTATGTTATGTGATGTCCTCTGTACTTAAATATTAAGACAGTGACATTCCCCCTTTATCCTTTTTATCATATCATTTTATTTTTATGGTTTCCCCCAATTTTTTCCCTAAACAATGTACATTTATTTGCATTTTAAACCTTCAATATTTGCTCATTAGATGAAATAAAGCACACTATAATATTTTTTTTGACTGCAATGGAATTGAAACTTGAACTCTGTACATTATCATTGGCCATGTTGTTATAATTCTGCGTATGTATTTGTTTAGGTTTCACTGGAACAGAGGGAAAAGTGTGTGTGCCAGTCATGATTAGCTTCAGTAACTTAAGAATCTATTATGGTCTTTTTTAAATTTTCCATTTTAAAAATCCTTTGTTACTTCTATTTGTATTTTAGAAAACTATCTTCCACAAGCTTTCCGCCACATTACAACAAATATATTCAAGTTATATGATTGAAATATAAACTTCTGTCTAATATCTTTTTTTTTCTTTTTCTGCTTTTCTCATTACTTTCTCTGTTCTAGGCTGCTGGAGGTACTACTTCTCATCAAGTCAGTTTTTCCTATTTTAATGGATTTAATAGCCTTCTTAATAATATGGAACTTATTAGAAAAATCTATAGTACTCTGGCTGGACATAAAAAAAATGTGGAAGTTACCAAAGGTTTGTTGAAATTCAATAATGAATCTTTTTGGGGGGGTGAGTGGGTGAGAATGTTCCATTATCCTCATCTTTCCAAGGTGATTGGTAAACACTTTCCTCATCTGGTATTACATGATAAACAATAAAAACATATTTTATGGACATTAAAAGAATTCCATATATCTATTATTTGTGCTTTCCTTTTTCCAGTTGCACTCATCTGTTACAATTATCTGGTAAATCTACTTTGACTTAACTTTTTATTTTTAAAGAT